CAGTCTTTGAGTCAGTCTTGAAGTCAGTTTTTGAGTCAGTCTTTGAGTCTTTCAGTCAGTCTTTCAGTCTTTGAGTCAGTCTTTGAGTCTTTGAGTCAGTCTTTGAGTCTTTCAGTCTTTGAGTCAGTCTTTGAGTTAGTCTTTCAGTCAGTCTTTGAGTCAGTCTTTCAGTCATTGAGTCAGTCGTTGAGTCTTTGAGTCTTTCAGTGTTTGAGTCTGTCTTTGAGTCAGTCTTTGTGTCAGTCTTTCAGTCTTTGAGCCAGTCTTTCAGTCAGTCTTTGAGTCAGTCGTTTAGTCAGTCTTTGAGTCAGTCCTTGAGTCAGTCTTTCAGTCAGTTTTTCAGTCAGTCTTTGAGTCTTTCAGTCTTTGAGTCAGTCTTTGAGTCAGTCTTTGAGTCAGTCATTGAGTCTTTGAGTCAGTCTTTGAGTCTTTGAGTCAGTCTTTCAGTTTGTCTTTGAGTCAGTCTTTCAGTCAGTTTTTCAGTCAGTCTTTGAGTCAGTCTTTGAGTCCGTCTTTGAGTCTTTGAGTCAGTCTTTCAGTCAGTCTTTGAGTCTTTCAGTCTTTGAGTCAGTCTTTCAGTCAGTCAGTCGAGTCAGTCTTTGAGTCAGTCTTTGAGTCTTTCATTCAGTCTTTGAGTCAGTCTTTGAGTCTTTGAGTCAGTCTTTGAGTCAGTCTTTGAGTCAGTCTTTCAGTCAGTCTTTCAGTCTTAAGTCAGTCTTTCAGTCTTTGAGTCTTTCAGTGTTTGAGTCTGTCTTTCAGTCTTTGAGTCTTTCAGTCTTTGAGTCAGTCTTTGAGTCAGTCTTTGAGTCTTTCAGTCTTTGAGTCAGTCTTTCAGTCTTTGAGTCTTTGAGTCAGTCTTTCAGTCTTTGAGTCAGTCTTTCAGTCTTTGAGTCTTTGAGTCAGTCTTTGAGTCTTTCAGTCTTTGAGTCAGTCTTTGAGTCAGTCTTTCAGTCTTTGAGTCAGTCTTTCAGTCTTTGAGTCAGTCTTTGAGTCTTTCAGTGTTTGAGTCAGTCTTTGAGTCAGTCTTTCAGTCAGTTTTTCAGTCAGTCTTTCAGTCAGTCTTTGAGTCAGTTTTTCAGTCAGTCTTTCAGTCTTTGAGTCTTTGAGTCTTTGAGTCAGTCTTTGAGTCCGTCTTTGAGTCTTTCAGTCAGTCGAGTCAGTCTTTGAGTCTTTGAGTCAGTCTTTGAGTCAGTCTTTGAGTCAGTCTTTCAGTCAGTCTTTGAGTCAGTCTTTGAGTCAGTCTTGAAGTCAGTTTTTGAGTCAGTCTTTGAGTCTTTCAGTCAGTCTTTCAGTCTTTGAGTCAGTCTTTGAGTCAGTCTTTCAGTCTTGGAGTCTTTCAGTCAGTCTTTGAGTCTTTCAGTCAGTCTTTCAGTCTTTGAGTCAGTCTTTGAGTCTTTCAGTCTTTGAGTCAGTCTTTGAGTCAGTCTTTCAGTCAGTCTTTCAGTCTTTGAGTCAGTCGTTGAGTCTTTGAGTCTTTCAGTGTTTGAGTCTGTCTTTGTGTCAGTCTTTCAGTCAGTCTTTCAGTCAGTCGAGTCAGTCTTTGAGTCAGTTTTTGAGTCAGTCTTTGAGTCTTTCAGTCTTTGAGTCAGTCTTTGAGTCTTTGAGTCAGTCTTTGAGTCAGTCTTTCAGTCAGTCTTTGAGTCAATCTTTGAGTCTTTCAGTGTTTGAGTCAGTCTTTGAGTCTGTCTTTGAGTCAGTCTTTGTGTCAGTCTTTCAGTCTTTGAGTCAGTCTTTCAGTCTTTGAGTCAGTCTTTGAGTCAGTCTTTCAGTCAGTCTGTGAGTCAGTCTTTCAGTCAGTCTTTCAGTCAGTCTTTGAGTCTTTCAGTCTTTGAGTCCGTCTTTGAGTCAGTCTTTCAGTCAGTCGAGTCAGTCTTTGAGTCTTTGAGTCAGTCTTTGAGTCAGTCTTTGAGTCAGTCAGTCTTTCAGTCAGTCGAGTCAGTCTTTGAGTCAGACTTGAAGTCAGTTTTTGAGTCAGTCTTTGAGTCAGTCTTTGAGTCAGTCGTTGAGTCAGTCTTTCAGTCTTTGAGTCAGTCTTTGAGTCAGTCTTTGAGTCTTTCAGTCAGTCTTTCAGTCTTTGAGTCTTTGAGTCAGTCTTTGAGTCAGTCTTTGAGTCAGTCTTTCAGTCTTTGAGTCAGTCTTTGAGTCAGTCTTTGAGTCTTTCAGTCAGTCTTTCAGTCTTTGAGTCAGTCTTTGAGTCAGTCTTTCAGTCTTTGAGTCAGTCTTTGAGTCAGTCTTTCAGTCTTTGAGTCAGTCGTTGAGTCTTTCAGTGTTTGAGTCAGTGTTTGAGTCTGTCTTTGAGTCAGTCTTTGTGTCAGTCTTTCAGTATTTGAGCCAGTCTTTCAGTCAGTCTTTGAGTCAGTCTTTGAGTCTTTGAGTCCGTCTTTGAGTCAGTCTTTCAGTCAGTCATTGAGTCAGTCTTTGAGTCTTTGAGTCAGTCTTTCAGTCAGTCTGTGAGTCAGTCTTTGAGTCAGTCTTTCAATCAGTCTTTGAGTCCGTCTTTGAGTCTTTGAGTCAGTCTTTCAGTCAGTCTTTGAGTCAGTCTTTCAGTCTTTCAGTCAGTCTTTGAATCAGTTGAGTCAGTCTTTGAGTCTGTCAGTCTTTGAGTCAGTCTTTAAGTCAGTTTTTGAGTCAGTCTTTGAGTCTTTTAGTCAGTCTTTGAGTCAGAATTTCAGTCAGTTTTTCAGTCTTTGAGTCAGTATTTGAGTCTTTGAGTCTTTCAGTTAGTCTTTGAGTCTTTGTGTCAGTCTTTGAGTCTTTGAGTCAGTCTTTCAGTCTTTGAGTCAGTCTTTGAGTCTTTGAGTCTGTCTTTGTGTCAGTCTTTGAGTCTTTCAGTCAGTCTTTGAGTCAGTCTTTGAGTCAGTCTTTGAGTCAGTCTTTAAGTCAGTCTTTGAGTCTTTCAGTCTTTGAGTCTTTGAGTCAGTCTTTCAGTCTTTGAGTGAGTCAGTCTTTGAGTCTGTCTTTGAGTCTTTCAGTCTTACAGTCTTTGAGTCAGTCTTTGAGTCTTTGTGTCTGTCAGTCTTTGAGTCAGTCTTTCAGTCTTTGTGTGAGTCAGTCTTTGAGTCTGTCTTTGAGTCTTTGAGTCAGTCTTTGAGTCAGTCTTTCAGTCAGTTTTTCAGTCAGTCTTTGGCCCAATCCCAAACCACTCCCTCGACCCTCCCCCTCCGTGACGGAGTAAACTCCGTCTGTAGGCACACTCACAGCTGAATGAAGTTCCCTCCATTAAGGGTTAAGGGTAAAAATACAGCGGCAAGCTTTGGGACGGCCTCCCCTCTCTCCGCAGGAAACGGAAACGGACGTCATGGTGTCCAACTCACATCTCCATCTGTCGGCTGCATTGACCTGCGTTGCTATCCGTCGCCTGTTAGCGGGTGCAATGGCAAGATCCAACAGAAGGCGCAGAAGGTTGAGGCGCATTTTAGCGATGTGCCAGTGGCAGGTAAACATTTCAATATTGCTAATACAACAATTATCTTCACTTTATTTCTTATATAGTAGCCTATGAACTTTGTATGTGTAATACAAATAGATATTTAGATATATTGTGATATACATTCATTTATTCTTTCCTTATAAGCTATACGTGTATATCTGTATAGTGTATGTAGAATTCCAACACAGGAGAAATGTTGTCAGTAGTTTATAGAATAAAAAAGGAAAGGTTAATTTGACTTGGTCTCAGAATTGTGTGTGTGTGTGTGTGTGTGTGTGTGTGTGTGTGTGTGTGTGTGTGTGTGTGTGTGTGTGTGTGTGTGTGTGTGTGTGTGTGTGTGTTCAAAGCGCTGGAGGTCAGTCCAAGCTTTGCCCCTGACATCATTGCATGTTGTGCATTTCTGTGCATAGACATGAACGATGTCCTTGAGGATGCTGAAGCCTTCCCCCCTGAAGATGGGGACCAGAGTCCTCCCCCTGCCGCAGCACGTGGACAGGAAAGTCCTGGACACCACCTAAGGAACAGGATTGCTGCACAACTCTCTGCTCCTGTCCAAATGGCACCACACCAGAGAGCACGATTACATCGAATGAACTTTGTTTTTTTTTGGAAAAACGTGGTTGTCTGTTAACTTGTGTTTTTGAAATGATGTGCACACATACCTGATTAATTTTGTTTGTTTTAGTGAGCTCCACTTCTCACTTTAGAGAAAAGAGGTGAAATAAAATAAACCTGTGCACCGTTGATTTCAAACTTGGTTTTCCTGAATTGTCTTTCTGCATAATCCCAAATTGGAGACAAATGTCCTTACTTCTTGGATCATTCAATCACGAGCACAGAGCAAAGGTTCAGAAAATGAACACAGGTCTTCTAATACAATCACTTTTGTTTTTGAGTGAAACTCTGCAAATGGTTTGACATGAGCAATTAAGACCGTAAATGTCATGTATATTTTAATGCCTTATACCTATGAAGCGCACAGACATATCTTTATTTAAAATGCTGATATTCAGGGTTAATCTTCAGACTTTGGAAAAAAACACTTTAGTTCCGTGCACAACATTACTTTGTGCAAAACTTTTCCTTCTACATTATGAAACCCACACAGAACAATGTAGCCATCTAACAATCAAGCAAACGCAATGTCACCTTCATCACCCGTCTACCTGTATTTACTATAGAATATTGAAGACATGAAGGACAGTACGTTAAATTAGGTTTATTGTCTTCCAAATAAATAATACAAGCGAACAAAAACAAGTCTTTTAAGTAACATCAATAATCAAACATAGAAATGGCCAATGGTGGGGGAAAAAAAAAAAATCACATTTTGTCGACCATTTTTTCGAACAGGGTTAGAAATTTCTCTGAGTGCTGCATTATTTGTCTGTGGCGTTCGTCCTCTTTTTCTGCCTCGCGTTCTAGGCACTCCAGCACTCCCATAGCACCTTTTCTTTTTTTGGGGGGGGGCTGCTGGGTGGTTCCAGCCTCAGACAGTGATGAGGGTGGTGAGGGGTCTGGATCATCAGCCACATTTGGGGGGGGGAAGGAAGAGGAGCAGGACGCAGCCTCCGGATCAAAGAGGATTGTGGGGTTTGCCAAGGCTGAGGCAACAAGGACAGGAGGACTAATTGAAGGCCTTGCACCTATGGCCTCATCCATGGCCATGAAGAAGGGCCATGTTGCAGGGGTTTCTTCCCCCTGATCAGTCCCTGTTCCAGTCCTTGGCCTTTTAAGTTCCTATTGCAAACAAATGCATGTTAGAAATCTTTGTTCAGCTTTTTCAAAAACAAACATGTTTTACAATAACAATACACCATTTACCTTGTATTTCTTTTTTAGGTTCTCCCATTTCTTGGAGGCCTGTTTGTGAGACACATGTTGCCCAAGGTCCAGTTCCTTAATGATTGACCTGTTATCATAGAATATTTAAACAATATATATTGGTGTTAAGGCAATGACCCACAGTGCACATTCATTACTTTCATTGCACAAAATATGAATTGAGTGCATAACTCACTCCCATGCTTCTTTGGCAGCATTGCGTTTTTTGCTAAACAGGTCGTCCTTGTCCATCCTTAATGCAATAAGTGCCTTGGTTTTTACCACAGTCCCTGAAATTACAAATCACACTTAAGTTTAAAACCGATTTCGTAAGTGAATGGATACATGAATTGACACGTGTGTTGTTAGTTTGATTCCGATTTAGATTTGTACATCTTCAAAATAAAAATCTAATGTAATCTTGGCAAATCAAATTAACACGTGTAGATTTATAAATACATGTTCACAAGGCATGTTTTAGTTAAGGCAACGTATTATTTATCGTTTAAAAAAATAACCACATGGAACTCACATTTGTATGACGTTGTTTCCTCCATGCCCGAAAAACGGTTGCACACCTGTGGAGTGAGATTATCAAGCCTGCATCCATGCAAACTCGCTGTCGGAGGCTTTTATAACCCACTACGCCTCCGCCCTGATTGCTTTGGAACCAGCCCTCAATATGGCGGACCCTTCGCGTGAACGCGCAAACGGAGGGGTAGGGTGTAGGGGGCGGTTTGGGAATGGGCCTTTGAGTCAGTCTTGAGTCTTTCAGTCTTTGAGTCAGTCTTTCAGTCAGTCTTTGAGTCTTTCAGTCAGTCTTTGAGTCTTTCAGTCAGTCTTTGAGTCAGTCTTTCAGACTTGGGGGCAGTCTTTCAGTCTTTGAGTCAGTCTTTCAGTCAGTCTTTGAGTCAGTCTTTCAGTGAGTCTTTCAGTCTTTGAGTCAGTCGTTGAGTCTTTGAGTCTTTCAGTGTTTGAGTCTGTCTTTGTGTCAGTCTTTCAGTCAGTCTTTCAGTCAGTCGAGTCAGTCTTTGAGGTCAGTTTTGAGTCAGTCTTTGAGTCTTTCAGTCTTTGAGTCAGTCTTTGAGTCTTTGAGTCAGTCTTTGAGTCAGTCTTTCAGTCAGTCTTTGAGTCAATCTTTGAGTCTTTCAGTGTTTGAGTCAGTCTTTGAGTCTGTCTTTGAGTCAGTCTTTGTGTCAGTCTTTCAGTCTTTGAGTCAGTCTTTCAGTCTTTGAGTCAGTCTTTGAGTCAGTCTTTCAGTCAGTCTTTGAGTCAGTCTTTCAGTCAGTCTTTCAGTCAGTCTTTGAGTCTTTCAGTCTTTGAGTCCGTCTTTGAGTCAGTCTTTCAGTCAGTCGAGTCAGTCTTTGAGTCTTTGAGTCAGTCTTTGAGTCAGTCTTTGAGTCAGTCAGTCTTTCAGTCAGTCGAGTCAGTCTTTGAGTCAGACTTGAAGTCAGTTTTTGAGTCAGTCTTTGAGTCAGTCTTTGAGTCAGTCGTTGAGTCAGTCTTTCAGTCTTTGAGTCAGTCTTTGAGTCAGTCTTTGAGTCTTTCAGTCAGTCTTTCAGTCTTTGAGTCTTTGAGTCAGTCTTTGAGTCAGTCTTTGAGTCAGTCTTTCAGTCTTTGAGTCAGTCTTTGAGTCTTTCAGTCAGTCTTTCAGTCTTTGAGTCAGTCTTTCAGTCTTTGAGTCAGTCTTTGAGTCAGTCTTTCAGTCTTTGAGTCAGTCGTTGAGTCTTTCAGTGTTTGAGTCAGTGTTTGAGTCTGTCTTTGAGTCAGTCTTTGTGTCAGTCTTTCAGTATTTGAGCCAGTCTTTCAGTCAGTCTTTGAGTCAGTATTTGAGTCTTTGAGTCCGTCTTTGAGTCAGTCTTTCAGTCAGTCATTGAGTCAGTCTTTGAGTCTTTGAGTCAGTCTTTCAGTCAGTCTGTGAGTCAGTCTTTGAGTCAGTCTTTCAGTCAGTCTTTGAGTCCGTCTTTGAGTCTTTGAGTCAGTCTTTCAGTCAGTCTTTGAGTCAGTCTTTCAGTCTTTCAGTCAGTCTTTGAATCAGTTGAGTCAGTCTTTGAGTCTGTCAGTCTTTGAGTCAGTCTTTAAGTCAGTTTTTGAGTCAGTCTTTGAGTCTTTTAGTCAGTCTTGAGTCAGAATTTCAGTCAGTTTTTCAGTCTTTGAGTCAGTATTTGAGTCTTTGAGTCTTTCAGTTAGTCTTTGAGTCTTTGTGTCAGTCTTTGAGTCTTTGAGTCAGTCTTTCAGTCTTTGAGTCAGTCTTTGAGTCTTTGAGTCTGTCTTTGTGTCAGTCTTTGAGTCTTTCAGTCAGTCTTTGAGTCAGTCTTTGAGTCAGTCTTTGAGTCAGTCTTTAAGTCAGTCTTTGAGTCTTTCAGTCTTTGAGTCTTTGAGTCAGTCTTTCAGTCTTTGAGTGAGTCAGTCTTTGAGTCTGTCTTTGAGTCTTTCAGTCTTACAGTCTTTGAGTCAGTCTTTGAGTCTTTGTGTCTGTCAGTCTTTGAGTCAGTCTTTCAGTCTTTGTGTGAGTCAGTCTTTGAGTCTGTCTTTGAGTCTTTGAGTCAGTCTTTGAGTCAGTCTTTTCAGTCAGTTTTTCAGTCATGTCTTTGGCCCAATCCCAAACCACTGTCCCCTCGACCCTCCCCCCCTCCGTGACGGAGTAAACTCCGTCTTGTAGGCACACTCACAGCTGAATGAAGTTCCCTCCATTAAGGGTTAAGGGTAAAAAATACAGCGGCAAGCTTGGGACGGCCTCCCCTCTCTCCGCAGGAAACGGAAACGGACGTCATGGTGTCCAACTCACATCTCCATCTGTCGGCTGCATTGACCTGCGTTGCTATCCGTCGCCTGTTTAGCGGGTGCAATGGCAAGATCCAACAGAAGGCGCAGAAGGTTGAGGCGCATTTTAGCGATGTGCAGTGGCAGGTAAACATTTCAATATTGCTAATACAACAATTATCTTCACTTTATTTCTTATATATGTAGCCTATGAACTTTGTATGTGTAATACAAATAGATATTGAGATATATTGTGATATACATTCATTTATTCTTTCCTTATAAGCTATTACGTGTATATCTGTATAGTGTATGTAGAATTCCAACACAGAGAAATGTTGTCAGTAGTTTATAGAATTAAAAAAGGAAAGGTTAATTTGACTTGGTCTCAGAATTGTGTGTGTGTGTGTGTGTGTGTGTGTGTGTGTGTGTGTGTGTGTGTGTGGTGTGTGTGTGTGTGTGTGTGTGTGTGTTGTGTGTGTGTGTGTGTGTGTGTGTGGTGTGGTGTTTCAAAGCGCTGGCGGTCAGTCCAAGCTTTGCCCCTGACATCATTGCTGTTGTGCATTTCTGTGCATAGACATGAACGATGTCCTTGAGGATGCTGAAGCCTTCCCCCCCTGAAGATGGGGACCAGAGTCCTCCCCCTGCCGCAGCACGTGGACAGGAAAGTCCTGGACACCACCTAAGGAACAGGATTGCTGCACAACTCTCTGCTCCTGGTCCAAAATGGCACCACACCAGAGAGCACGATTACATCGAATGAACTTTGGTTTTTTTTTGGAAAACGGTGGTTGTCTGTTACACTTGTGTTTTTGAAATGATGTGCACACATACCTGATTAATTTTGTTTGTTTTAGTGAGCTCCACTTCTCACTTTAGAGAAAAGAGGTGAAATAAAATAAACCTGTGCACCGTTGATTTCAAACTTGGTTTTCCTGAATTGTCTTTCTGCATAATCCCAAATTGGAGACAAATGTCCTTACCTCTTGGATCATTCAATCACGAGCACAGAGCAAAGGTTCAGAAAATGAACACAGGTCTTCTAATACAATCACTTTTGTTTTTGAGTGAAACTCTGCAAATGGTTTGACATGAGCAATTAAGACCGTAAATGTCATGTATATTTTTTGCCTTATACCTATGAAGCGCACAGACATATCTTTATTTAAAATGCTGATATTCAGGGTTAATCTTCAGACTTTGGAAAAAACACTTTAGTTCCGTGCACAACATTACTTTGTGCAAAACTTTTCCTTCTACATTATGAAACCCACACAGAACAATGTAGCCATCTAACAATCAAGCAAACGCAATGTCACCTTCATCACCCGTCTACCTGTATTTACTATAGAATATTGAAGACATGAAGGACAGTACGTTAAATTAGGTTTATTGTCTTCCAAATAAATAATACAAGCGAACAAAAACAAGTCTTTTAAGTAACATCAATAATCAAACATAGAAATGGCCAATGGTGGGGGAAAAAAAAATCACATTTTGTCGACCATTTTTTCGAACAGGGTTAGAAATTTCTCTGAGTGCTGCATTATTTGTCTGTGGCGTTCGTCCTCTTTTTCTGCCTCGCGTTCTAGGCACTCCAGCACTCCCATAGCACCTTTTCTTTTTTTGGGGGGGGGCTGCTGGGTGGTTCCAGCCTCAGACAGTGATGAGGGTGGTGAGGGGTCTGGATCATCAGCCACATTTGGGGGGGGGAAGGAAGAGGAGCAGGAAGCAGCCTCCGGATCGAAGAGGATTGTGGGGTTTGCCAAAGGCTGAGGCAACAAGGACAGGAGGACTAATTGAAGGCCTTGCACCTATGGCCTCATCCATGGCCATGAAGAAGGGCCATGTTGCAGGGGTTTTTCCCCCTGATCAGTCCCTGTTCCAGTCCTTGGCCTTTTAAGTTCCTATTGCAAACAAATGCATGTTAGAAATCTTTGTTCAGCTTTTTCAAAAACAAACATGTTTTACAATAACAATACACCATTTACCTTGTATTTCTTTTTTAGGTTCTCCCATTTCTTGGAGGCCTGTTTGTGAGACACATGTTGCCCAAGGTCCAGTTCCTTAATGATTGACCTGTTATCATAGAATATTTAAACAATATATATTGGTGTTAAGGCAATGACCCACAGTGCACATTCATTACTTTCATTGCACAAAATATGAATTGAGTGCATAACTCACTCCCATGCTTCTTTGGCAGCATTGCGTTTTTTGCAAACAGGTCGTCCTTGTCCATCCTTAATGCAATAAGTGCCTTGGTTTTTACCACAGTCCCTGAAATTACAAATCACACTTAAGTTTAAACCGATTTCGTAAGTGAT